ACTGGCTGTAGATTGGAGGCTCCCATGATTCTCTCAGTGCTCTTCACCCATAGTAGTATTCATTTAATATCCTTTTTATGTCCATGAAATCTGTAGTGAGGTCCCCTCTTTCATTTCTGATGTTAATAATTTGTGTTTTCTCTCTCATTCTTTTTTTGGTTACCCTGTCTATCAATTTCATTGATCTTTCCAAACAACCAATTTTTGATTGCACTGATTTTTCTCTCTTTTCTGTTTTCAATTTCACTGATTTCTGCTCTAAATTTTTTCCTTTTGCTTACTTTGGATTTAATTTCCTCTTCTAGTTTCCTAAGGGGGAAGTTTATGTTAGAGATTTTAGATTCTCTTTTCTGATGTATAAATTCAGATTTCCCACTAAGCATTGATATCAAATGCCTCCCACAAATTTTGATAGGTTGTACTTTCGTTTTTGTTTAATTCATAATATTTAAATATTTCTCCGGTTTTTGACCTGTGTATTATTTACAAGTGTGTGTTATTTAATCTTCACATATTTGGGGATTTCCTAGCTCTTTTTGTTAATGATTTCTAGTTTAATTCCATTGTAGCCTGTTAGCAGACATTGTATGATTTCTAGTTTTTAAAATTTGTTATGGTGTGTTTTATGGCCCAGAATATGGTCTGTTTTGTTACGTTCCAGGTGAGCTTGAGCAGAATGTATTCTGCTGTTGTTGGACGAAATAGTCTACAGATGTTAATTATATCCAGTTGATTGATGGTGGTGTTGAGTTCAACTATGTCCTTAAACTGATTTTCTGTCTGCTGGAACTGTCCATTTCTGACAGAGAGGTGTTGAAGTCTCCAGCTATAATAGTGGCTTCATCTGTTTCTCTTTGCAGTGCCATTACTTTTTATTTCAGTTATTTTGACAGTCTGTAGTTAGGCACATGCATGTTAAGGATTGTTGTCTTCTCTGAGAATTGACCCCTTTACTATTATGTAATGCCTCTGTCCCTGATAATTTTCCTTGCTCCAGGGTTGGCTCTGTCAGAAATACAGCTACTCCCACTTCCTTGTGATTAGTGTTAGCATGGTATATCTTTCTCCATCCCTTTATTTTTAATCTATATGTATCTTTATATTTAAAGTGGGTTCTTGTAGTTGACATATAATTGGATTTCATCTTTTGATCACTCTGACAATCTCTGTCTGTATTTAGACCATTAACATTTAAAGTGATTATTGATATTGTTGAATTAATATCTACCATATCTGTTACAATTTTCTAGTTGTAGCCCTTGTTCTTTGTTCCTGTTTCTTACACTTTCCCCCCTGCCTTTTGTGGTTTTAACTGAGCATTTTATATGATTCCATTTTCTCTCTTTTTTTAGCATATCAGTTATCCTTTTTTTTCTACTTTCAGAATTTACAATATACATTTACAACTAGTCCAAGTCCACTTTCAAATAACATTGTACCACTTCACTGGTAGTACAACTCACCTTCTAGTAGCAAACTATTCCTAATTTCTCTCTTTTGTTCCTGGTGTCCTTGCTGTGATTCATTTCACTTATACACACGCCTGCACACACACACACACACACACACAAATACGTACACACACACGTGTATACATGTCTCCTATATCCTCTCCTTGGAGAACTTTTTAAAACATTTCTTGCAAAGCCAGTCTGCTATCAACGGGTTCCCTCAATGTTTCTTAGTATGAAAAAGTCTTTATTTCTCCTTTCCTTGTGAATAATTTCACAGGGTGTATAATCCTATGTTGGTGGTTATTTTCTCTCCACAGTGTTTGATTCCATTCTCTCCACACTGTTTGATTCCATTCTCTCCACACTGTTTGATTCCATTCTCTCCTTGTTTGCATGGTTTCTGAGATGTCAGGTGTAACCATTATGTTTACTTCTGAATAGGAAAGGTGTTTTTTTCTGCTGGCTTCTTCTTAATTTTTTCTTTATCTTTGATTTTCTGCAGTTTGAATGTGATACGCCTAGGTGTAGAGGTTGGTTTGTTTGACAGGTATTGTGCTTGGTGTTCCTGGAGCTTCCTGGACCTGTGGTTTGGTGTCTGACATTAATTTGGGGAAATTCTGAGTCATACTTGCTTCAAATATTTTTTCCATTTCTTCTTCTCCTTCTTCTCTGGTATTCCAATTATGCCTTTGTTACAGCTTTTATAGTTTCCCACATTCTTGGATAATCTGTTCCAGTTTTTTTCCCCCCCTGCCAGTCATTTTTTCTCTTTGCTTTTCAGTTTTGGAAATTTCTATTGACATATCCTCTGGCTCAGAGATTCTTGCCTCAGTTGTGTCCAGACTGCTGATGAGCCCATCCAAGACATTTGTTTCTGTTAATACTATTTTTGATCTCCAGTATTTCTTTTTGATTCTTTTTTAGAATTTCCATATCTCTGCTTACATTGTCCATCTGTTCTTGCATGTTACCTCCTTTTTCCATTAGAGCTCTTATTAGCATATTAATCATAGTCTTTAAAATTTCTGGTCTGATAATTCCAACATCCTTGTCATGTCTGAGTCTGGTTCTGATGCTAGTCTGGTCTCTTCCAACGGTGGTCTTTGCATTATAGAATGTGGCTTGCTGGAAGCTGGAGACGATGTACTAGATGAAGGGACACCAGCCTTTAGTGGTGTGAGGATCAGGTACCGATAGTCCTGTGATTAGGGCTCAGTGAGCCTCTGCCCCGGGGAGTGAATTTTCATGTGCTGCTCTCCCTTAAGTTGGGACGGGATGGCTACAGTGGGCTGGAGTTGGATATTCCCCCTTTCCCACGTAGAAGGCTAGAGCAGGCTAGCGTTGGGATTTCCCTTCCCCCAGGTGGGTTAATCTCTGATAAAACTCTAGTTAGTTAGGGGCTGGTAAAATTATTTCTCTTGAGAGCAGGCCTTGTTAAGAAGAGAATACTCTGGTGTATTTCAAAATTATCAGTTTCTCTCCCCCTGCTGGAAAAAATAGGAGAAATTTTCTGTGATATTCACCTTGAGAACTTGGGAGAACCCATGGAAGTAGAACTCACAAAAGGGCTTCCCTGGTAGTGCAGTGGTTAAGAATCCGCCTGCCAGCATAGGGGACATGGGTTTGAGCCCTGGACCGGGAAGATCCCACGTGCTGTGGAGCACCTAAGCCCGTGTACCACAACTACTGAGCCTGCGCTCTAGAGCCCGTGAGCCACAACTACTGAGCCTGTGTGCCACAACTACTGAAGCGTGCACGCCTAGAGGCCTTGCTCTGCAACAAGAGAGGCCACCACAATGAGAAGCCCATGCACAGCAACGAAGAGTAGTGCCTGCTCGTGGCAACTAGAGAAAGCCCGCGCGCAGCAACGAAGACCCAGTGCAGCCAAAAATAAATGAATAAAACAAATAAATTTATTTTTAAAAAAAAGCTCACAAAAGTGTGGGGGCTCCCCTAAGCCTAGGCTTCTCTGGAGTTTTAAGTCTCCGACTTGTGCACACTTCTCCTCTGGCAGTTTGTCAGTTTCAGTTTAGATTTTTGTGCCCTGGTACTGGTTCCTGGAGATGTTTCTGCTCAGGGACTTCTGCTCTGTTAAGTTGTGAATCTGTGTATCCACCTATCTATTTGTCTCATTTTGGGGGCAGCAGTTTGCCCTGTGACCTCACTTCTGAGGCATCTAAGAAGAGTTGTTGACTCTTCACTTTGTTTACTGTTTTACTTGTTAGGATGAAGTGAATACTTCCAAGTTCCTTACATGCTGGACTGGAAAACGGAAGTAATTGCTTATTTTTGGTGCCTAAGTCTCAACTATACCTGGTATCTCCTTATCTAGAAAAGAAATTTGCTTTACCTGCAGAAAGTAAACCATCACTCATTTGCTCCGAGGGGGAGAGGTGATTGCTAGAGCCTGTAAGGAAGCAAAGTAGGGACTACCTACATTTCAAACAGCATTAACCGATTTTGCTAACTTGGAGGTCCTCTTTTTCTTCTTCATTCTCAATTGCAGACATTCTTTCTGCTATGAGTACTTGAATTTTCTGAGGATTCAACAGACTGGTTCTTTTTTTATTTTTTAATATTTATTTATTTAATAGATCTTTACTGGAGTATAATTGCTTTACAATACTGTGTTAGAGTGAATCAGACATATGCATACATATATACCCATATCCCCTCCATCTTGAGCCTCCCTCCCACCCTCCCTATCCCACCCCTCTAGGTTGTCCCAAAGCACCGAGCTGGTTCTTAAGCTTTTTTTTCTTAACTGCCAATACAGGATTCACCTTTCTTGGGTCTTCTAAGTAGTTTACCATGTATCAATGTTGTCCTATAGCTTTTGAGATATTGTTGCTGTTATTGCTTCTCGTGTTTTCCGTATCCTTGTGTGTTTGTGTTAAAGAAGAAAAAAGTCCCTTTATTGTCATTAAGAAAGGGATCTAAATTAGGTGATTTGGTTCAATCTGCCATACCTCTGTTGTTGTTTTCAACTTGTCAATTTTTTATTTAAGGGAAAATATTCAGTTAAAGCTTGGTTTTCTTTTGCTCAGCACCGCCCCCGCCCCCCCGCCCCCCGCAACAACAGAATCAGCAAAACTAGATAGTTAATTAATTTAATTACCTGAAACATTTTGATAGAGATCTGTGCCTAGTCACGCTCTTTTGCTGGCGAGTAAAGCTAAGAATTATTTGAATGAAAGTATTCCTTATTTTAGTCTTTCTGTGTGCAGAAAGGGATAGATTTGTGCGCACGCGTGTGTGTGTGCGCCTGCGGGTGTATTTTTATAACAAAAAATCAGTGGCCTATTTTTTTTTGATACTAAGTAACAAACAAATGAAGTATAAATGGGGAAAATAATTATGATAGGTAATAAAGGTGCTCTACCTCCTTTTAAAGATGGACTTAAATATTTCATTAACCAGGTGTTGACAACTATTGTGATTTGTTGATATTTGATTATACTACAGTTTGGTAATTTGAATGCGATCATTTACCTCTTAAAGATTTTTAAAAATAATGTGTCTGCGATTTCTTTTTATAATATACAGAGAAAGCAACCAGTGAGATGAATACTGCTGAGGATTGGGGCCTCATTTTGGATATTTGTGATAAAGTCGGTCAGTCTCGCACTGGGTAAGTGTTGCAAAGTTTCAAAGGATTTTTATTTATTCTTCCTGTTTATTAACATGAATGAAACAAGAGTTAGAAGGTAAAGCATACTACAATCACAATTTAGTTTAAAAAGAGAATGTTTTTGCTAGTGAGATTTGAGGAATCATCCCATTTAGGTTACTCCCTGTAACCAGGAGGGACAACATGACTGGTAACAATGTTGATACTTTAATTATTCTCCCTTGTCCATAATTGCCTTCTGAAATCTAACTTTTCCCACTGATTTTAAAAAAAATTTTTATTGAAGTATAGTTGATTTACAATGTTGTGTTAATTCCTGCTGTACAGCAAAGTGATTCAGTTATACATATATTCTTTTTCATATTCTTTGCCATTGTGGTTTATCACAGGGTATTGACTGTAGTTCCCTGTGTTCTACAGGAGGACCTTGTTGCTTATCCATTCTCTATGTAATAGTTTACATCTGCTCATCCCTAACTCCTAGTCCTTCCCTCCCCCCACCCACCCTTGGCAACCTCAAGTCTGTGCTCTATGTCTGTGAGTCTGTTTCTGTTTCGTAGATATGTTAATTAGTGTTGTATTTGAGATTCCACATATAAGTGATATCGTATGATATTTGTCTTTCTCTTTCTGACTTCGTTTAGTATGATAATCTCTAGGTCCATCCATGTTGCCGCAAATGGTGTTATTTCATTCTTTTTTATGGCTGAGTGGTGTTCCATTGTGTGTGTGTGTGTGTGTGTGTGTGTGTGTGTATTCCCCAAATCTCTATCCGTTCATCTGTTGATGGATATTTAGGTTGTTTTCATTCCCGCTGATTTTTAAAGTCATCAGTGATTTCTCAATTACCAAGTTTTTTGGTTATTTCTGTGTTCTTTTCTTCTCTGTCACATGTGCCCATTCGACCCAGCTAATCAGTGACTGTTGAAAGAGAGACGGTTTTAGGGAAGTAGAACTGTACACTTTCTGGCACACAGACTCTTTGGTACTACAGGGCTTGCTCATCCGCGCCGCAAAGGGATTTACTGATGTACAGAGTAATGGCTTCCTGCATTCCTGGGCTAATAATGCCCAGTTATTAGTAGCCACATTTACCCCTTTGTGCCACACAAATATTGTTTTATTTATGTACTTTCATGTGAAGAATGTTTGGGAGCACTACTGGATTCTGCTTGATTCTTCTGGTGGTAACTTTAACTCTGATGGTGCCTTCTCTGGCTCTTCTTCCTTCCCTTCTAAATAGAGATAGTTCCTTAAACTTTCTTTGATCCATTTTTTTACCTGATACTTTTTCTTTTGAAATCTCCCAGCTTTCAGATTTCTTTATGTGACATCTGTAGTTTTAGCTCTGAATCCCTAACTCAAGCACTAATATTGGGGATGCAGCATAATTTCTGAACATCACACTACATAAGCCGCGGCCTCACATCTAGAATCCTGAACTCATGTCTCCTTTTGCTTTAAACCTACATTCCCTCCTTTGTCCCCTGTCTCTGTTAATGACAAGGTTATTCTTTCATTCACACCTAAAGCCTCAGACTCTCCTCTGCATTTAGCTTTTTACTGAATTCTGTCAGCATGCCTCCATAATATCTCTCACGATATTGATGTCATAGAGTCTCCTTAGTTAAGTTCTTGAACATTGGTCAAACCAGCTGGGGCAGTTTGTGTTTAAGTCCTTTCCACCCCGTCACTCAAGCCCTTTTTAGTACGTAATATGCTCCCTCTGGCAGGTTCTGAAGATTATGGCCTCGACCATCCCCTTTGTTGTCTTTGCATCCTTTCTGGCCTGGTTAGTTCCTTAATTTAGTTGATGTTTGAGTAGTTACTGTGTGTTATGTGTCTGTTCCTTCTTCTCTACGTCTATTGGCCCCACTTTACTTGAGCCATCCTTAACCACGCCTAGCCTAGTGAATTGACCTTCTGGCGTTTCCTTCTGTTTCCATCTCTTTTCTGTCCAATTCTTATAGCCGGTGGCCAGATGACAACTCTGACCATGTTACTCCCCTGTCTTCCATACTGAGTTAAGTCTAGTAACCTCCTTAGGCCTCTGAATCATTTATTTTTCATTTACTTCTTTTGTAGTTACTGATCTTTTCAACTCAAATATTTGAGCTGCCAGTGCTTTTCTGCTTTATTGTAATGCTTTTGGTCATTGTGTTCCTTCAGTGTCGAATATTCTCTTCTCCCATCTCCTATCTCTGTGTCTCATATCCTTCTAGACCCACTATGGATATTATTTCTTCCACAAAGGTCTTCCTTATCCCTAGTACTGAAAATCATTATCGAAAACCTGAATCCTCAAAACACTCTATCAAAACCAATCTTATTTGTGTTTTGCCTTGTATAATAGTAATTTATATACATCTAGTAGACTTAGATTTGTAGGATGAAAGGTCTATGAATTTTTGTTGTGAGGAGGAAAGCAAATAGCTTAGTGGCTGAGAGCATGGCCTCTGGAGTGAGACTGCCTGGGTTCAGATCCTGGCTCTGACTGCTTAGCTGTGTCACTGGTGGGTAAATAGTAACTTTCTTTTCTAGTTTGCTACAAGAGAATAAAAATAGTATCTTTTTATAGGGGGCTTGTTGTGAGTGTTAGATTAGTTAATATATATAAAGTGTTTATAATAGTATCTGGTGCATGGTTAAGTGGGTACACCTCTGCCTCTTTGTTTGTTTTTTTTTTTTAATGGCTTTACAATGTTGTGTTAGTTTCTGCTGTACAACGAAGTGAATCAGCTATATGTATACATATATCCCCTCCCATCCTGCCCATCTGGGTCATCACAAAGCACCGACCTGAGCTTCCTGTGCTATACTGCAGGTTCCCACTAGCTATCAGTTTTACACATAGTAGTGTATTTATGTCAAACCTGCCTCTTTTTGATTAAAATGATATTTTGTGACAGTTTGTCTGTTGAGGACTAGGTATCGACCTAGCTCCATCCCTGTGTATTTTGGAGATAAAACTTTTATCTCGCATTCCAGTTGCAAAGTCCCTCCTCTCTCTTTTCACTCCATCAGTTTTCTTTTTATCTTTAGTTTGCTAGTCTTCATTTTGTAGATACTTTTTATAATAATTTGATTAATTGCTTGAAATGAAAGGACAAACTCCCTTTCATTACTAGAAATATTCCATATTTTTCTAGTTAAAAAATAAAGTTGTAACCCACCTAAAAATCCTGTATGATGTGTCATGGAGATTTAAAGAGATCAATTTGTTTTTCTTCATGTTAACATTATTATACTAGAAATGATAATCTGTTATTTTTTTCCTGTCTTTTCCTGTGATGAGAACTGTTCAGATCTACACTCTCAGCAACTTTCAAATGTACAACAAAGTATTGTAACTGTACTCTCCATGCTGTACATTACAGCCTCAGAACTTACTTATAACTGGAAGTTTGTACCTTTTGACCCATTTTATTCATTTTGCCCACCCCTCTGCCTGTCTGACAACCACCAGTCTGTTCTCTGTTTCTGTGAGTTTGATTTTATTAGATTCCATATATAAGTGAGATCATATAGTGTTTGTCTTTCTCTGTCTGACTGATTTCACTTAGCATAATGCCTTCAAGGTTCCATCCATGTTGTCCTTGTGTACTTAAAATGTACTAATTTATAGCTTTAAGTAATTGCTTTCTATTTGCTTTTTGTTGTTATCGAGCATCAGTAGGGTTAGATACATCCTCATTCTTTAATTTTTTCAAATTTACTTTAGACAACATATTCTCTCTCGGTATTTTTCCTTAGTATTTCATTATACTTTGGAGATTTAAATTGACATTATGCTAAATCTATGAATTTACTTATGAAGTGTTTTCAGCTTTGCTAATTTAAATAATGAGAGGTAGTTCTGGTTTTTTTTTTTGCGGTATGCGGGCCCCTCACTGCTGTGGCCTCTCCCGCCGCAGAGCACAGGCTCCGGGCGCGCAGGCTCAGCGGCCATGGCTCACGGGCCCAGCTGCTCCATGGCATGTGGGATCCTCCCGGACCGGGGCATGAACCCGCGTCCCCTGCATCGGCAGGCGGACTTCCAACCACTGAGCCACCAGGGAAGCCCTCTGTTTGTTTTTAATCAATATTTTTTCCTTTCCTCTTCCCTTCTTTTCCTTTTTTCTTTTTCACTTATTTTTTCTTCCTTAATACTTGCTCTCTAGTTCCTTTAAATTCTCATTAAGTTAATTTCCAAGCATCTATTTGTTTGTTTATGGAAATGTGATATCTCTTTATAGCTCTTATTAATAAAGAATTGTTTGAAAAGGATTGTGTAATAATTGAGATGCCATTCTAATATTACTAGGGTTTAAAAAAATCAAACCCACAAAATTTGCTTATGTGTGTGATTTCTCTTTAAAAATAATGTTTTACATTCATATCCAGTTGTATTTTCATTATTTTCACTTTCTTGCTGTACCTTGATGATTTCATAGTAGGAAATAAGCATCAGGGCCACATTTTGACTTTCATGGGCCGTCAGCACTTTTGTCTTCGTGGTTCCCTTTCTCCATAAAAAAGTAATAAAAATATTTTATGACTGCATTATTATAAAGGCAAGTGCATTATTATACATGAAAACATTTTCTTTGACTCAAGTTTGTGGCATTCAGCACATTCACATTGTTGTGGGATCATCACCACTGTCCATCTCCAGATCTTTTCATCATATCCCCAAGTGAGCTCTGCCTGTTAAACAACTTACCACTTCCCCCTTCCCCAGAACCTGGTAACCACTTACTGTTTGGTTTTAATTTTTAAAATCATTTCATAATTAGTTATATGGAAAACATGGAAATCTGGTTTATGTTGTCTAGGAATCTAGATACATATGTTTAGTATGGGTTGCTGATGGTAGCGTGAGAATATTGACCCAGTATTGTAGGTTGTCAGTGAAGTACTCTAGGTACCTGGTGTGCTTTAGAAAAGACTGAGACATGTCATTGGTGTGAGAGGGAAAAGGGGACATGAGTTTTCCTGAGGCAAATGTAGATAGGGCAGGT